TCTTGTGCTAAGTTTTATTAGTATATACATTTTTTTTGATCTTCCATAGTAATTTTGTCTCCCTGTTCATATATGCTTGTCACTAAACTTACCTGCTTATTTAATATTACAGAATAATGCTTTTCAGAGGAGTAGGAATTCGTATCACAGTAGTTTAAAGTAGCATAAAGTATTTGTGTCCTGAAGCTAGATATTATTCCAAACACATTGGTAGTTGTTTTCCTTTGTTGTCAGCCTATTCCTTTGTACAATAATTAGTTTTATACACATACTGATCTACTTCCTACTTCCATATGTTTTGTAGATTATCTCTCTGAAGAACTTTTTAAAGCTAAGTATTTTTGAAAGACTGTAGTTGAAAAGAAACTGAACTTGATGCATGGCACAGTCGTGTGTTCCATAGTCCATTTTACACAAATCAAACTAGAAGATCATAGTTTTCCCCATTAGCATTAAAATCTATAAACTGCTTCATGCAACAGTATGTTAAGTGCTTCAGTGCTCTCTTTATCCTGTGAAATGAACTATTTTTTGAAAAATCTTTTTAATGTATGTAGGCATAAGGGAAATGAGAATATCCAGATTATCTTAGAGTGGTATAACATTCCAGTTTGTAGCAATATCTGAGACTGTTTACACTTTTAATACAGTATGTGCAATCATCAGTATGTTTTATAGAAAATGTAGAGAAATCCCAAGAAAGTATATCATACCAAGAACCTACAGTACTACATGCACAACATATTTATGTGTTTGTCCTTTCACATACAAACTTTATCCACTGACACTACTGTGCATGGTTTGTGTGTGGGGATATTTATAGTTTTTGCATTTCTCAGCTATATCTTTTTTTGTGGCATGTGGTAACAGAAGATATTGATATTGTCTGTGTTTTGGTTTGGTTTTTTTTTTTTAAATACTAAAGCTTATGTTTCCGAGTTTTGTATGTCTGTCTTCAGGTGCAAAAATTATCGAAGAATGAAGTTTTGATGGTAAACATAGGATCCTTATCTACTGGAGGGAGAGTCAGTGCAGTAAAGGCTGATTTGGGGAAGATTGTGCTAACTAACCCAGTATGCACAGAAGTGGGAGAAAAAATTGCCCTGAGTCGAAGAGTTGAGAAACACTGGCGGTAAGTTGGTGCTAAATTGGTAGAGTACCTGGTTGTTATATTGTTAACAAAAAAATACATGGATCTGATTTTGTCCTAGAATAGGTAAGTGTATGTCTGTTTTAAAAATTCTTCTGGATTCTCTAACACATTGACACCATTATTGTGGAATGCTTCATTTCATTACTAGCCTATTTTTTCAGAGATGTGCTATAATTGGGTAGATACCTATTAGTTAACAGACCCAGAAACATCTGAGTTCACGTTTTGTTGCCAAAACTGCCATGCTGTAAATTGAGCTAACATCAGGCAATCTTGGCAGAGCAGTTTGGAAATTCTGGTAATGTTAAGTCAAAGCTTGTCTTTATACACACCTAAGTCAATGGTGTTCTACCTGTGGAGCTGTATATGATTCCTGCTGCAACCTTGAAGTAATAGCAGGGGAATGGAGGAGGGACATTCTAAGGTTCAAGTAGTTTATGTACTATGAATAGAGAGGAAAGAAAAAGGTATCAACTGGATTGACCCATTCAAATTACAAATATAAAATGTCTGACTGCACAGAAGTGTCTGGAGGCTGAAAATGATGAGCAGAATTGGTTGATGATTCATTTTAATCTTAGTGCCATACTTCTTTTTAGATGATTATGCATACTGTACATGTTACATGTTCCAAAAGACTACATGAGCATCATAAGAACTTAAGGGTATTTAGATGCGTTGACCCTGCACAGGTCTTGTAAAAATGGCTGTGTTCCCTTATACTACAAGAAGTCTCTACTGTATGAAAAAGAAATAAGCTTTAAATATCCATGGATGCATGTTTCTTTTTCAGATCAACAAGAAAGCATAGATGGGAATTTAGTGCCTGCTGTCTCAGAGCTAGCTGACAAATTATGGAAGAGATTACTCCCTGAAAAAAACCCACAACAAATAACAAGGAAAAAGATAACATGTCTTGAACAGTAGGAGGGGAAAAAAAAAAAGGCAGGACCCAAATTAAGTCAGGGAAAGCAGAAGGAAGAGGAGAAACTATTTATATTGGAAATGATGCTTTTTTTTTTTTTTTCAGCTATAGACTGCTAGCCAATGTAAATTTTAATGTGAGTTTTGTTGCTTCTGTAGATTACTTCCCACTTGAAAAACATGACCGAATTTTGCTGGAAAGCCTGCTTGACTCTGGATTATGGGGTGGGCGAGTAGTGGCAGCCTGCTATAAAGATCCTGTTATTAAAAAGTTGCCTTCTATGCTGTATTAAAAGGATAGAGAGACAACATAAGGAAACAAAGTTGAGAAAAGGGAAAGGAGGTGAACTGGGAGGAGCAGCATAATAAAATCCAGTTGGAGTTAAGATAATGTACGGTTGGTACTGTGAAAAGGAACTTGTAGCCTGAGGCAGTGGGGTACTGAAAAGATGGAAGAAGGTGAGAACGCAAGAGATGAAAAGGAGGTATAGAAAGTAAATACATAGACGCATAGAGATTAAACAGCAAATGGCCAAGGAAACAGGATACACTAGTGATTCCAGGGAATGGTGAATTCAGAAGTGGACTAGTTGTAAGCTATGGATGTGGTCCTAAAAAGTGGGAAGTGCTGGGCTTATATGCTTCAGTTCCTCTTCTGGTGTCCAGAGACAGGCTCTACTGCTTAGAAAATTAAATTGAGATGCACATGTGGTTTCTGTGTATCTCATTGCCAGAAATTGGGAATGTTTTAAAGGCTGTATTAATGACATGGACTGCCTGCTGACTGTGGAAATGGACATAATCTTAATTTCTTTACAGAAGCTTATTTTTATGAGGCAACAGTGGCCTGTAAAAGAGGCCTTAATTTTACTGAATATAAATAGTAGAACTTACCTGAGAGTTGAGTTGTCTGGGAAGTGGATTCATTACCCAGTGTGCAACAAGCCAATAATCACACACTTGGGAGAGACATTATTTCATTTTTGCGCAAAGATGGGTGCTAGGTGGTAATTCCACAACGCTAGCACACCCTGCAGTTAAGCAAGCAAGCAATTTATACAGTTTTAGATTCAACTGCTTAGTTTCCAAAGTCCTTCCCCAAAATCTTTATTGGTAGTCGCTTATCTGCTACCATTTCTACTGGGCTAAGGTTTTCTCTGCTTTGAGTTAGAAGTGCAGTGTTCTTTTATTCTACAGTGCATGCTCAAGGAGCATGTGGGGGGTAAGTTGTTTAGGTCTTTAATTGAGTCGGTGGTCACCATCTCCCCTGCTGCCTTTACTTTTCTCCTAGTTCATGTTTCTTTGGTAATCAGCCGGTGCCTTCTGGAGCAGGATGTTTCCTTTTGATCAGTCTTTAGTTCCTTTTTCAAGGGTATAGTTGGCAAAGCCTGCATCATTCATACAAAGTAAGGGGGCCTACAGAGTGAAACTATTGAGTAATGGTCCTCCTTAAAGGACAATGCATTGTGCTTAACCCTAAATTGAGCAGTATCACCACAGTTAGGCCATAACTCAAACATTACCTTTATAGGTTACATGTTCAGTGAGAGTAACAGCTGTCTTTATAATCTTACTATCATCTTGTCTGAATTTTCACATTTTCATTTCTATTTGAAAGTAATGCAGCACTTCAGGCATAGGTGAAAGAGATCAAGCTGTGAATAGATTTACAGTCCACCAGTACAACGTAAGTTACAACATTTTCAGATTTTTAGTTTACTGTTCAAAGGTACATCCTTAGCTGATTACAAACGTACAAATGCTCTTTGTCCCTCATCCTTTTTTATTCTGTGTTTCTGCTAACCAGTCTTAGATCTTGTAGGATGTTTTGGGTAGGAGACAAGTGGAGAAAATTCAAATTGTGAGAGCTGAAGGCGTAAGAATGACAAGAGGCTGTTGATTTATCCAGGATATTTCTGTCTACTATTAAAAGTAACATAAACTTTTTTCTTTTTGCAGTTTAATTGGTTGGGGTCAAATCAGAAGAGGAGTGACAATCAAGCCAACTGTTGATGATGACTGAAGAACAAAAGAGTGTGCTTCATTTTTAAGGATGAAGTGCCTATTTCCATTTTGGAGGGGGTATATTTTCACAGTGGAATTGGAAGCTGTGCAAGCAGTATCTTTGAGTTGTATGGCTGTCCTTGTACATGTTATTGAATTTTACCCTCTTACTAAAATACTAGTCACTATCGCCATTAAAAGTGTAAAAGAATTGGTGTAGAAGTGGGTTTAATTATCCACATTTTAGTAGAAATTAATTGTACATGTCTCATGGCATGTCTAATTTATGTCATTTTGTGTTTCAGACATACCTGTTTAAATCAGTCAAGCCAGCCCCAGTGTAACACACAAACCATAAATCTGGTATTGAAATAAAATATTGCTTATTTTCATTAATCCATACAATTTTTCTGAGTAACAAAAGACTGCAGTGATTGTTCAACCAGTACAAGAATTAAAAGCAAAAAACCAAGCTCTTCTTGAAGACTAGTACCCTTTCTGACAACATCTTGTTTTGTTTAGATAGCTGTTGACAACAAAAACTTTCTTCCTTAGTTTGTATGGTTCCAACTTTAGGATTCTAGCTGTATTACACTTTGTAATTAGGATGGCAATGTTGACTGACTTAAATTTGTCACTTCCAGTATAACAACAAGTTTTGGTTAATCCCCCAAAGAAAAACTACAAGTAAACTGCATCTGAACTGGCAGTACTGTTTCTGACCTTATTTTAGAATGGATTTATGAAAAGAATGTGATTTAATTTGAAACATAGCTGTTTGTCATCATGGAACTCTGTGGGTGACCTGGGAGCTCTTTATACAGTAGGAGTAAACTGTTTATTTCAAAGTTATATTGAGCAAATATTAGCTATGATCTTGAACTATAAAGTATCTGGAAAAGGCTATAGAAGGTAATGATGGGGGGGCTGTGGGATTTGGAATGAGATGAGGAAAAAGGTGTAAAACCATCTTTGCTTAGCTAGCCTGAATCACAGTCCTTAGGAGAAAACATAATGTAATAAACTTACTGTAGGGTGCTAATACTTTAATCCATTTAGGTTTTACTTCTTCATTTGTACTAATGTACATAGTTCTAGGTATTTTAGATACTAGACTAGCAAGTCATGTTACTTTCCATACTTTTTATACAAAGTACTGTGTTTATTTTCAAGGCCTGGTTTCTGTTGTATTTCATATCTTCAAGGGCATTCTAAAGGTAAATACCGTTTCACTCATCAAAATGGACCTTGGTGGAACAGCTTGAGTTTTGTTCCTGATTCTGCATTGTATTTTGTGTTCCCTTATTCCATCTACATTCCTGTACTCAGTTTCTCCATTTGTAAAGTACTTCTACCTCGCGTGGTGTTGAGAGTAAATACGTTAATTTTTGTATACTGCTTCTCCTTAAAAGAAAGGGAGTCAGCTGTAGTTCTTCCTGATTCTCCTAGCACTTCACCAGTATAGTCTTCAATGTGTGTTTCAAAGACTGCATCTTCCGTGCTTTGGAAGCTCATTTTTGTAATTTTAGGAACTTGGATAAACTTACGTCTTGCCTAGTTTGGGATCATGAGGGTGAGCACAGAAGAGAAAGTAAGCTACTGCAGAGTGCTAGGATGACACCACCACCAGGGTGAAATCTAGTCCAAAGAGTTCTTTCGAAATGCACTGAATGTATGGCTTTAATGATAAAGAAATGCTGAAATGCTTCTGAGAAATTGGTTAAGCACCTATTGTCTTTTTTTAGGCATCCAGATATTTTGGAGATTGGGGCTTAATCTCTTGATCTGCAATTTAAAAAATAAGTGCCATAATCATTCCAAAATACGTCGTGTACTCTTTCACTTGGTTAGGTAATAAATGCGAAGTACTAGTACTGTCTTAGTGCTAGGATTAGTAGCCATAGGTCGTTACTTAATTTAGGTCTAAAGCATGATTTGATACTGCTATAGTTGATACCAGATTTATTAGGTAGGTGTATGTTATCAGTAACATTAAGAAATGCTTTATGAAAGTGTCTTGTTCCCTCTGAAATGTTAAGTCATGTTTTCTTTCTCTGATAGCGCACACAGGAACTGGTGGGAACTAGAGAGAGAATAGAGGCAATGAAGTGCCAGGGTAGCAAATTTTGCTTCTGGCCCATTCTTGCATCAGCCTACTTTCATGGTAGCTCTTCCAGGCTGGGCTAGGGTTTTTTAGCAGCTGCAGCCCTCTCCCAAGGCAGTTTCTTGTATTTTTCAAGTGTTTGCCACTTCCTTCTGATGGTGGGCTTAGGTTTGTTATTGTGCACGTGTGCTGCGTCGTGCAGAAAAGAGTTGCTTAAGAGTGGGACGGTTGTTATGGAATAGTGTGTCTGGCCCAACGTCTATTCCTGATCCTTTCCAAGAGAAGAAGGGAGGTTAGGAGCACGTGTAGGTAGTCTGAGGTGTCAGCTATGATTTACGTATGACATCAACAGTGTGCTGTATATCCTATCACACCAGGGTAGGGGCTGGGGGACAGATAACATGCCAAGTTCTTTTTTTACTGCCAAGATGTTACATTTCCTCTAACTGGAAAGCTTTGACTCTGCTGGCATGAGTGAAGAATAATGGGAACATTTTGAGACTTCGATGAACACGTGAAGCACATGACTCTGCAGCATCGGAGAGCCAAGTATGAACAGTGTAAGTGTAAATAAATTATGTGCTGGTGTGTCTGTGTCCACCCACTCTGCATTCACTGAATTGTGATGCTGAGATTCAGATGAATGACGAGAGAAAAAAATACCATGTAAAACTAAGGAAGTTGAAAATTACTTCAGTTTTCTTGGCCAGGATGAAAATAGTAACAGATGACTTGTGAGTGCTCTGATTTGTTTCAGAGTGATTTTATTTTTTTTTATTTTTTTTTTTACCCTTGGTCAGATTTAGCTCCCTGAACGTAGGTGTGCAGTTGCATTTCAAAGGGCTTGGCTAGCCAGGGCACACGTGTGGAATGGGCAGCTGTCAACACTTGCCGCATTCTGGAGTGGTAGCTGGATAGAGCAGGGCATCTCGCATGGCACCAGTACTGACACCGAGGTAACTGACTCTCTCCCAGTCATCTGTCTGATTTTGGTAATTGGTTTTAGGAGGGCACTAGTGTAGTGGTACCTCTTCACTGTGGGGAGGAGAATGTATTACATCAACAAATACTTTGCAAAAGACTTCTGGTATCGAAGAAACCTACCAGACCAGTGTAAGTTAACTACTACCGGGTTTGGGTTTGGTTTGTTTTGATTGACCTGTGATTGGTTTTGTATTAAAACTAGCTAGAGATGCTGGCTGGCTGTCATTCCAGCTAGTTTTTGCTGGTTCACTCAAATTAAACAAGCTACTTAAGAAACAGAGTTCTCCATTATGTTTATCTGTATCACAAATACTGTATTGCCCTGTTAAAATTCAGATTGGTTACCTAGTTTAAGGAATTAGATTTTAAGGAAGCAAAGGTGGACAAAACTGCAAGTAGTTCTTCACTTCAGCTTTTTGTAAATGCCAGTGGGGTGGCTGCTGCTTCACTTGATTTTATGCATGGAAATGAGGTTATTTTTAAGAAAAGTGGATGCTAGTTTCCTGTTGTTTCTGATGGAACTGAAGTCAAGTTTAAAACTGAACAGAAACGAGAGGAGGAAGGAGTGGTTGCTCTCCAAGGTGTGTGTGCAACCCCTGACCTAGAGCAGCTCTCCAGCACTACACTGTATATCTGAGCCTTTGTGGCTAGAGATTATCTTCAGTGGAAAAACTGCTTTTGAACAGTCCTCTGGGGTTCTGTTTTGGTTTTGGTTTGGTTTGGTTTTTTTTAGTGTTTTTGCTTCCCATCCAGGTAAGTGTGAAAACCTTGATGGAGCAAAACATTTTTTAAGAGAGCAGAAATGCCCTATTCCCACTATCAAGGGTCACATACCTCATTTACAGCGAGGACTCGCACCTCTTCCACATCAGCGTAGAATGCTGAAGTCCTCGTCACTCGGGGTACTACGGGTGGATTTGAATCCGCTCTATGTACGCTCTTCACAGCACAAGACTTGCAACAACTGTCAGGATACTACAGGGATTTGGAGGGCCAGTGTTCAGAACTGTGATTGTAGTTAACTCCAGGTGGAAACTCGACTTACTCCAAAGTGGAGTAACACCCACAGGAGAGCTTGTTCAGTTTATTCCTCTTTTCTCCCTACCTGTTCTCCCACCAGTTCTCTCTGTGAAAATGAAAGGTAAAAGTGATCCCTTTACTGCCCATCCCTATTTGTACAGAAGATTTCATTGTCTATAGACTAGCATTGAGTTACTAACAGTGACAAAAGACATAGAAGTGTCTCCCCAGTGCCCTGTTCCAAGCTCTCTTCCATTCAGATCTTGCTGTGTAACAGGCAAGAAAATCACCTGCTACCTTAAATTTGCCATAAAGAAAAATTTAGGAAAAATGCATTTACTGGAATCTTTAAAATGAAGGTCAGTCACCTTCGTAACTTCTGTAGAAGCATGAACCTGCTAAAATAGGGAGATGTCAGATTAATGACAGTGGTGGTCATACAGCTGCTTTAAAGGAGCAGAAGCCTGGGTTGCTGTTGAAGCTTAGACCTATCCTGCTCCTGGGTGCTTGCTGCCCATACATGTTGTTTCAGCTCTAATGCTTGTACAGATGTGCAGTGAATCGGATGAGGGAACAGATTTGAAAAACTTGATTTTTTTATTTATTTTTTTTAGAAATGAAAGGAGAGATGTAGATGAGAGACAGTCTTTTCTGTTGGCAGCTTGGATTTAAAATTAAATTTCTGTCATAAGGTTTCAGGTGACGGGGAATATGGGAAATTCTATTTTGCTTTTGCCAGGTAGAAAATAACCTTCATGTTTTCTCACATACCTAATGTAACTTAAGACTTTATATGTATGACTTTGCACTCTATCTCCATTAAACTAATACTATATCCCAGGCTGTGTGCATTTATCAGTTCTATAGATCTATTAATTCACGCTGATAACGCAGTTCGAGCCAGGATATTATAACTGTAAGATTGCAATTCCAAGCAGTAAAAATGCAAGTGAATGATGGATGAAATAAACCCAAAACATCTCTGGTTTTCCTGCCCCCAAATTCTGGCAGTTTCCCCTGCTTCATTATTTTTAGGAGTTATTCTGAGCTGATTAAAGAAAGGAGGCACAGCTGAGAGTACGGGTGGAGTATCTGCATTTTGGTTGGGTGTATAACAAGGAGGTTATATGAAGAGAGCATTTCCCAGAGTTGCAGTGCTGCTGCTGTTAACACCTTAGGTTGGCTTTCAAAGCCCTGGTTTCACGAAAATGTGTAGAGAAAGAGTAATTATCTTAATTTCATAGCGAAGTTTTCTCTAAGGCATTAGTACATATATACTTATGCTACTTACACTGTTGCATATAAATAACACTACCTCTCTAGAAAAAGATCAGTGAATGGCTGTGCAGAAACTACAGTAAACCTGTGATGCAGGAAAGAAATAAAGCTAAAAGCTTGTACTTCTGCACGATGCTTACTGAGGTTCATTGTACAAAGAAACAGCTATAGAACACTGAGAAAAATAGAAAGTCTCCAAAGCATGGGTAGACTTGGACTCAGCAAAAATGTAGGATGATGTTTTATTTTGTTGCATTGTATATCTTAAAAAGAAGAGGTTTTAGGAAAAGTTGATTTGTATTCTTACCTATAAAGGCAAAAAGACATTGCTTCTTTAACCACCTTGGCTCTAACATGCAGGCCTAGTTCCTAAAAGTAAAAGTTTAAGCTGTACATAATCACCAGAGCCCTGTGGTTATATACTGATGTATAAAGTTTGTTGTTGCAGGCGTTAAATATACGTAATGGTGGAGCACGTAACTATTCAGGTGACAAAACGGTTTCATAGATAATTTTTCAGAGCGCTCTCCCAGTGTCTCACAGGGAACTCGCTTAAACTAGCCAAAATAAAATGTGGTGGGGGGAAAAACGAGGGTGATTAGCGGTTCTGCTAGTTCAACAGTCGTTACGTTAGCTTCTGTCCTGCTCTGTTTTCCTGGTTGAGGCACCGAGTGGTTTTGAACAGTGTAACAGGGAGGAGGTTTGACCTCTCATACAGTATTTTGTATTGGCTCAAGTTGAACTAAAGCATTGTTAAAGGATACAATGCTGACTGAAGACATTGCTGTGCCAGGCTGCATTACTTCAATATTTAAGAAGGCAGCATGATGTAATACATCATGCTTCTTCAAATAAGTAGATATCTTGTGCAATGGTGCACAGTTAAGGCGCTGTGTTGGAAATTATTTCTGAGACTTCAGTATGCATTTGGGAAATGCCATTTCCAGCCAAATCTCAGATTTTGTTCTGGAGGGGTGAAGCATGAATTTTCAATTAACATCTTTGCTGATTTTGTTCTAGTATATACAAAATCCAAAAGCATTTTAAAATTATGTTTTTGTTGCATTAGTTTTGTAGCCCTTTCAAAAGTTCCTTCTAGCTCCCTGCTGGAAAAGGAGTTTCTGCTGTTTTTCCATGAGCCGTTCTGGGTCACTTCTTGCTGCAAGGCTGGGGCTAAACATTGACAAAGCTTCAAACAGCTGCCCTGCCGTTAATAATAACAACAGCAGCATTGCACAAACTGCTGGTTTCCAGACCCTGTCACCTCCTGACCATACGATGGTGCTTGTGCATGCACGATACATTCAGTTGCCTTTTTACTGCAATCCCCAATCTCTGCGTACAATACTTGTCATTCATCAGTTCTTCCATTGCCATAATTCTTTTGGCACAGTTGGCTTAATAGCTGATGTTCATTTACCATGATGCTAAAATGACAAATGCGCTCTGGCTTTGTGTTGCTGCTCTTGTTTCTGTAAAGCTACATCTATACGTGCACATCTAATTTCCAGTACGACTCCAGTCCATCCTACTGGCATAGCAGAAGTGCTTGTTTCATGCCTTTCCAGACTAAACCCGGGTAGAATAAACATTTTTACAGAGGCTTTGGTATGTGGTGAATAACATAACAGCTGTGACAGTCAAAAACTGTATGTAAGTGTTACAAGTACATAAATAAGTTCTCCTCCTTTCTTACCTTGAAAGGATTAAGACCCAAACAAACAAACAAAGTCTCCTAACATGGGTACTGTGCAATGAAGAAGGAATAGGCAAGAGACTTTTGGTGCCAAGGAACAGGCGTCTTGCTGAAGGAATTGCCTCAAATATTCAAATAAATACATATTCTTCAATGTCTTTTATAAAATACAAGGAACCAGAACACCATGTTCAAGCATGGATGAAAACTGCTGAAATAATGTTTATATGATATTTACTTGCATTAAGGAAGGCTTCATTAAGAAATTGCAGGGTATGCATTTATAAAACACCAACTTTGCAGTTCAAGTAGTTGCTTTCTAAAGCCTAGTATACCTTTTTTTAATATTTCATTACATTTGCAAAAAAAAGATTCACAGATTAAGTCTCATGTACCACAATCCTAAGGATTCTAACAAATCAGGGCACCAACTCTTCTTTGTTGCCTCTCTGTGGACATTTGTAAAGAAATCTAATGTACTACACAGGATTCATTATGTTATTTAGAAAGCCTCTTCCCCTGCCAAACATTACACAATTCTGTGTTCAGTTATTTCAGTTTACTTAGTTTATGATGAAGATCCGAAAAGCATTTTCTCCTGCAAATGTGCCTTAAGGTTCTCCAATTCATTTTTCTTCCTGTTTTTGCTTATCATCTATTTGACTACGTAACCTATTATGAATCTCAAAATATTTCATTTGCAACATAGTCCTAATTATTATACATACAGAATTAAGTTGCAGCTTTGCAGGTTTTCAGTAAAGTTTTTTTTACCTCAGTGACTTAGCACTGGGTGTACAGAAGGATGCTTTTTCTTTTGTACTTTTTCCTGGCTACAACCAAAATGCTGTTGATAACATAAAGTTTAGCAACAAGTATTTTTCCTTAAATTGTCTCCCATTTATTCCTTTGGCAGTAATTGTATACAACTTAATCCTTTATAAATCTGACGTGGAGCCACACTTTTCACCCAAAAAAAAAAAAAGCTATGAGAGTATAATTAGTCCTTCCACAGCGATCGCAAGCATTCCCATATTCTCCATATGGTTTTGGTTTCTCGCCTAGTTGTCTGGCAACACGCGTGTTAAACGTGCTGAGCCAGCGAACGCCAGGACAGCCCTGCAAACTGTGTACCTGTATGCCTTAGGCACACAAATTGTCCTGTTAACACCAGTGGGACCATTATGCACTTAAAGGTAAGCTTGTGCTTTAAGTGTTTTGGAAACTGTGATCTGAAATTATTTTCCTGAAGGCCTAATTCTTCCTTTACGTTACTGGCTACTTCACGCTGTTGCAGTTCTACCGATTTGTAGTTCATGCTGGGAACCTACTTTTCCAGTTAAAACTTCACATTTGTCTTTGAAAGGATTTTGAGCTTTATTGAAAGGTCTCTTTTGACACGTCACGTCACAGAAAAGTGGATTCTCAGTACTTACCTGTGCAACCTGGCAGCTGACGGAGTGCTGCAAAGCTGCTTCACGTATAAGCAGATCACAAGCTCCTATCAATTAAAGTAGAGTGCAGATTCCGCACCTCAAGTCAGGTGAGGACAGGGAGAGACGAGGGGCTTCTTCAGAGAACCCTTGACTTTTAGAAGTTTAATTTGTGCTTTGCTTCTTCCTTTTGCTCCATTCAATTGGAGTCCTGTTGGTCCAATCCTATATGATGTGTTTTTATGTAAAGATGAGAAAAGAAGCTGCTCATATCTGTGCCAGAGGAACTCAATTTTCAGTTTTACACAGGATCTTTCACCAAAGGGTTTCAAAGTAGCCTTGTGGCTTACCCAAAGCACCATTAATGTAGCTACAGAAGAGTTTTGCTGGAGAGAGGGCAAATAACACAGCTTTGAATCGAAAAATACAACCCTAAAAATCAGTGTTGTCTTTACTGCTACTCTGGCAGCAAATTTTGTTTCTATTAAAGTCTCACTGAAAAGAGGGTTTGTGTGTAATGGTTTGTTTTGTAATGCCCTGCTGTCTTGTTAAACTATTTATTGGAGAAACTGGGAGGGGCTGGTGCAGTCCTATTTCAAAATGCAATGCTTATGTAGTCACTGAAGTAGATAGCCCTCAGGGCCATCTACAACTTTATTAGCCGAAAAGAGAAATACCTTTTAACTCTTTGAATCCTCTCTAGCCTTTCTTTTTCAAGATCTGTCAGTGCTGACTTCCAGCAATGTATCAGGTTGAATATTTACTAGTCCTTTTACCTTTATTACATGTACTTGCCAACAACTCTGGAGGTGATATCTTTGATTCATGGACAAATAAGGCAAATGCAATGTGAGCTTAGAGAGTTATAAGGTAAATCTTGGATTTTTTTTTTTACCTTTCTTCCCCTAAGCCAATGAGAGTTCAAACTAAGAGGATGTTATTTGAAATGGTAAAATAAATAATTAACCTCCCTACCCAATTAAAAATTCCTTTAAGCTCGCACAGCACTTAATAAGGAAGCGCTAGAAATAAAATTGCCTGTGAAACCCTACCTTTAACAACTCAGTATTTAGAAGTCTACTGAATATTTGTAAACCAAGCTATTTCAAAGACTTTTATGCAGCCAAATAACTTGGCAGTTCTCCAGAGGATGCCAGGGACCCCTGCTCAACACAAGGACCATCCTTCTGTTTAAATGTAAATTTTTTTTCTTTAACTTTTCAATTTAAAAACCCCTTCGTTTTAGTTTTGTTTTGGTTTTGTTTTTTTAGCAAGGGCAAATAATCTGCATTTTGATCTCAGGCAGCTGAAAAAACTGTGTCTGGAATCTTCCCAAAAAAATTCAGTTTGAGGCCAACACCCCTTATGGAAAATTTCAGACTCGTGCAAGCTGGCAAAAGTTTTATGAGCAACTAAAAACCTGTATAATGCAAAATGTCAGCTTCAAAATAAGTGACACTACGCTGCACATTGCTAACATAAAAATCTCAAAAAGGGGAACCAACCAACCTTGTGGTTGGTGCCTACTACAGGTCGCCCGATCGAGGGGAGCCCGCTGACGAATCCTTCTTACCCCAGCGACAGGAGGCATCGCGCTCGCCGGCTCTCGTCCTCCTGGGGGATGACAACCCCCCCGACATCTCCTGCAAAAGCAGCACGGCGAGCTGTAGGCAATCCAGGAGACTCCCGGAGCGCATGGCGGATAACACTTCTTAAGCCAGGTAATAGACAGCCCTACCAGAGGGGATGCGATACTGGACCTGATGGTCACCAACGCGAGTGAGCTAATCGGTGACATCAAGATTGGAGGCAGCAGTGATCACGCACTGGTGGAGTTCGCAGTCCTAAGGGATACGGGTCAGGCGATTCTGCCCCTCTGCTCCGATCGGGTGAGACCCCACCGGCAGTTCCGCGTCCAGCTCTGGGGTCCTCAGCACAGGAGAGACAGGGACCTGTTGGAGCAAATCCAGAGGAGGGACATGAAAATGACCAGAGGGCTGGAGCACCTCTGCTGTGAGGAAAGGCTGAGAGAGTTGGGGTTGTTCAGCCTGGAGAAGAGAAGGCTCTGGGGAGACCTTATTGTGGCCTTTCAATATATAAAGAAGCCTTATAAGAAAGGTGGGACAGACTTTTTAGCAGGGACTGTTATGATAGAACAAGGGGTAATGGTTTTAAACTAAAAGAGGGCAGATTCAGACTGGATACAAGGATGGATTTTTTTATGCTGAGGGTGGTGAAACCCTGGCACAAGTTCCCCAGAGAGGCGGTCGATGCCCCATCCCTGGAAACATTCACGGTCAGGCTGGACGGGGCTCTGAGCAACCTGGTCTGGTTGAAAATGTCCCTGCTTGTGGCAGGGGGGGTGGGCTAGACGACCTTTAAAGGTCCCTTCCAACCCAAACCATTCTATAATCCTAAATAGAGAGGTTATCCAAGAGAGACACACAGCTGTAGAGATTTCATATTGGCCTTACAACACTTTCACCGATTTAAACTTATTAGGTCAGTTCAAACCTATGGACTTTATATACCACCACCACAAGACCGTATATACCTGGACTCTCTTCGGATCTTTCTCTACAACTATCTTGGGTAGCACAGCACAGACAGACCAAACACGAGCCTATTTTGTGTACCAATACATGACTGTTCAGGTCAATCTTTGTTTCATTACTTCACTCATTGCAACTAGTTTCATCATCAAAAGAAAGTATTTCTTACAGCTTCGTTCATCTTCCTTGGCAATCAAGCCTTTGGCTCCCAAGCATTTTGGCTGCCTGTATGCACAGGCAGTTCAGTAAGCATCGCAACTTTGGCTGTCTAAATTTGTCCTAAATTTGGAGACTGATAAGACAGTCAAATTCAACCACGCTGCTAAACAAAACAGGAGGGTATTTCTGGGCGATTATCGAGCTGTACCACGGGGTGGCTCAGTATCCCTGAGCACGTATGGCACTTTTGCTCTGCGGGTTGAAGCGAGTTGGTGGCTTTGCGCTGCATGTGTTGGTATGAGCCGTCGCGTGCCCGTCTCGGTGGCCCAGCCATTTGTTCTGACAAACATCAGCCCAGATGTACCCGAAACCCAGGCATTGCGGCAGCCTGGGCACCTTTTCCAGCCCAGGTTGGGCTTTCCAAGCCTCGTTTCCCAGAAACTATGTGAAGCTTCCCCGCCAACGCCAAGCCAGTTCTCTCAAGTCTCTCAGGGAGCATCCCGAAAATCAGCGGCGATTGGGAAAGTGCAGATGGATGGGTCAAAGGATTTCGCAGCCTCCCAGGGGAGGGCGATGGGCAGCACACCAAGCCGCAGCGTTCAGCTGCTGCTGGAGCTCCGTGGTGAGGATCCTGCCTCATGGGAGCAGCTCATGCAGCAAAATCCAGGAGGACTGCTAGTTGCTGAAGCTAGGGAATACGGCAGGTAACTGTCCTGGATTTTATCTGTGCTGATTTTATCCTGTCTTTAATGAGGCAGGTAACTAACAAACAGAGCCACCTGGAGAACAGGAAAGCCTCTACTTGTGAGCAGCTTGTGACCAATTTAGCGCCCAACAAAGTTAAACCATTTGAACTGTGCCTTGGGAGAGGAATGCTCGGTTATAAAGCACTTGTCCTTTGGTGCCTATGGATCACATGCGTAGTGAGATCTGGGCATTTTACAGGCTTGTGATCTCCTACCCACAAAAAAGATTAATCACATACACCGCTCACTCCCCTGTCCAGCAGGAATGCCGAGCCCTAACATCGCTTTGCGCCTTGGAGAACCTTGTGTCCATTTTGTCCGACTGCACCTGCCCTATGCTGTGATTTCACTGAATTTGATGATGTTGGTTCCTTTCCTAAAGCAGTCAGCAAAGAAAAACAGGAATAGGGCCTCAGTCTGCCAGTAAAAGGCTTGGCAATATTTAGAAATATCAATCCTCTAGTATCTGAGACCAGAGAGAGGGGAGAAACAGGCACTGCTGGCTGAGTGCAAGCACCCAAGCATGGACACTGGAGGACTCTACAGAATTAAGTGTCTCCACAGGTTTGTATTAGATAATTACATTAGTTTAACTTACAAACATAAACTAATGTCTGGACAATTCTTTAGTAATTCTGATCAGCCCTATGGAGACTACAAAAAGGGACAAGAAGATTTTACTGTCTACTACACAGCAACTAGGCCTGGGCATGTCTTGACAGAGCAAAAGGAATGATTTGAAACTATTCTTAAATAGAAAACATCAGCATACTAAAAAATATGACTTCAAGAAATGACATTCTTCTGGATACCTGTACTTACTTCCCCTTCTGAATTGCCACAGATGGCCTAATATGAATCTCTCTATGGTATAAGCCGTTAAATTTCACTCACTCCTTTGACTCGGGCAAAAATGCCAGAAAGCCATCCAGTTTTGAGCTGAAGGCATCAAGTTGGGGAGAACTCATCCTGTCCTGTATGTTTTGTTGGTGGTTGATCACCTTTGACCATTTAGAAAGTCAAGTCTAAGTTTTTAAATTGAATGCATCTTGTTTAAACTTCTGGCTATCGACTTCAGTTACATCTTTCTCTAGACTAAAGTGACTTCCCATTACCAGGAAAGCACTATATAATTCATGTATCTCTATTTTCTTGTTCCTATTGTTATTAAACAGCTAAAGACCTTTTAAGCCTCTAAATCCTTTTATGATTCTTTGTGGCCTCTCTGGTTTTTGGTCTATTTAAAAAAGCGGATCCAGCAGATATAAACTCACCTTATTTCTATCATCTACTCCGCTGTTAGCATCCCTAAAGAGCACTAGCCTTTTTTGTCCCACGTGTATAGCAGACTCTTTTTGAGGTGTCTTGTGATTGTGTCCCTTTAATCTTTTCTAAAGCCTCTGCTTTCCAGGAATCAGCAATATCTTCTAGGTACATGATTTGCATTCATTAATCCTAGATACATAATCCTGCGTTTTGGACACATTAAGACAGAACTTCAATTGAAGTGGTTTCATTTACAGAGTAATCCAGTCTGTGTGACTGTTCTGCGTTATTGCCTTTTCCTCATCATCTGTACTTACTCACTCCAGCATCTTTGTCACAGCCACAAATAAAATCAGTGGCAATACTATGATGAC